AGAGACAAGGGAGGGGGATGACGTGGGGAATCGTCATCCTCCACGAAGTCGGACCCAATCACCCGCCTACCTCTCTGGCTTCATATTGTGCTCTTAGGTCCCCTCTCAGCTAAGCTCCAGAGACTGCAGTCTCCTGGATTCCTCTTCAAAGTGCCAAATTCATTCCTGCCTCAGGGCCTTGGCACACTCTGCCACTCCCTTCCAATCCTTTCTCAGTCTAGCTGCAATGTGTCAGTGGGTAGGTTTAATCCCTTTTAAACTTCCTGACTCTCCAGTAAGCCCTAAAATTCTACAGGGGCAGCGATCATGCCTGCTTTTTTCTCAACTGTACATACCCAGGGCCCACTGCCAGCCCATAGATGATCAATAAAATTTAAGTTGATAAATGAATAGCTACCATCTACTGGACGTTTCATGCATCCCAGGCAATATGCTGAGTGTTACAGCATCAAAATTTTAACCACATTCGTATTTGCAAAAATCTGAACCGTCATCTCTATTCTTTCTGAACTTACCTTCAAGCGTCCTCTTTGCTGAGAGGCAGAGTCTGAGACATGAGGGTAAGTAAGCCCAGAAACTTCCCAGTTGAAGGTGTGATGGCCAGATGACATCGGGGCTCAAAACACCCTTGGGAAGATGCCCTGGTAGGGGCTGGGGTCTTTAAACTTCCCCAGCTTCAACAAGACATCAACCCACACCCACCTCTGCTTAGGCACGAGGGTTGTGTATTCAACAAGGCCCACAGACTCCACTCCTGACACTCGGGGAGAACTTCAGCTTTCGGCCACCTAACGCTTATCAAAAACAGGAAAGTTTGTGATTTCCACTCAGTCCATTCGGGCAGGGGAAGAACAAAAGCTCAGGCCTCCAAACTCGGACCTGTCTACCACCATACATCCATCAGGAAGCATCGCTTGTAAAGCAAAATACTTTCTATCCTCAACCAGGAATAATTAAACGGTAATATGCTCCAGATCTGTGCTTTCTTGCCTAAGGAGAAAAGTCATTACAGTCGTGGCCTCAGGCAGACCTGGACATACCAGCAGTAGCCTTCCTGGAAAACTGACCTTCCTTCAACACAGCATTTCACAGTCAACAGCTCAGGCATGTGCTGGAACTGTTACTAGTTATTTTGCACTTGGCAAGCAGGCCAGCATTTAGCCGCAGTCTCCAGATGGTTGGGAGAGGCAAGGAGGAGGGGGGGGGTGGTTAGGAGGGAGAGACAGCAGGAGCCGGCTATGAGCAAGGTCCTGGAGGAACCTGGAGGAACCCTCAACCACTGCTGAGGACCTAGTGGGGCCTGGCGGCGGGGAACCCTGTCTCCCCACTGAAAGGGCTGTACACGCCCTGTTCTGTGTGGTAAATTCTACCCCTGGCTCCCATTAACACGGCTCCATTCCCCTCCACCAGCCCAGCGTCTGGTAGGTGCCCTTCCTTCCAGCCCGTGTGACACCACGTGACCACCATGCAGCTTCCATCCAGAGAAAATAGTGAAGGTAAAGTGTGTGTGTGTGTGTGTGTGTGTGTGTGTGTGTGTGGGTGTGTGTGTGTGCACGCGGTTACTTACGTATCATGTACACGCACACCTAAGAGTGTCAGGCGTGAGACTGCTTCAGGCGACCACACACAGTCCCGGAGCTTCTTCCCTTCCAGGCGCGTCCGCCTCCCGCGCGCCCACCCTCCGATGCTCCCGCTCCGGCCTCCCCAACACGCGCAGGGTCCCCGCGGGCGCAAGGCCTGGGCTTTCACGCCCCCAACCGCCCCCCCGCTTCTCCTCCTGCGAACAGTCCGCTTAAGACTCGGCTCAAAAACCACCACCCGTAATTCCGGAATCCGGTTACCTGTGCCTTTAAACCTCCCCTGGTACCTCGTGCATTCCTTTTGGGTTTGAGGCACCTGGGGCGGCTTCTTACCCGAGGACCTCTGCTGTATTCATCTTCATTCCCTGGCCGGCCTGCGGCGTGTGCACCGCGGCTCTGGGAACCGCCTCTAGTCTCCCTGCAAGCAGGCATGCGCGCCAAGCACGCGCCGGAAAGCTTTCTCTCGTTGGCATGGGGGTGTGCACCGCCTGCCGTGTGACAGCCACGAGTTCATGCCTCCGAGGGTGAAATGCTGGTTTTCCTTACACCTGCATGACCCAACATACTAAAGCTTTTATTTACATAAAATAATTCACATAAAAGAGGGGGATCTGTTTCCCCCTCTGTTTGTGTTCCATGAGGGCAAAGGTTTTTGTCCTTTTTGTTTGTGGTTGAACCCGGTATTTTGCTTTACCAGCCACAGAGGCAGAGTGGCTGGTGCATCACAGGCACTAAGGGATAGTGGCTGGTGCATAGTTGGCGCTCAAAAACTGTCCAGATTGCCACAGTGTCCCAGAAATTCTGGGATTCCCCAAATCCATCACTGAAAAAAAAAAAAAAGAAAGAAAGAAAACCTCTGAAAATCCTGGGGACTTGCCTAAGGTATGTGTGCTGAGACCAAATGGCACAAATGGAGTGTCTGTCCATCTGTAGACCCATGTGTCTGACCCTGTGAAAGCACACGCAGCCACATCTCAGATGCACACTCACTTCTTCTTCCAAGTCTCCTCTTCACGTAGTCTCCCTGGATGTGTGTTTTGGGCTGGATTATGTCTCCCCAAATTCATAGCTAAAAGTCCTAACCCCAGTACCTCAGAATGTATTTGGAGGTACTGTCTTTAAAGAGGTGATGATGGTAAAATTTAAGTCGTTAGGGTGGGCCTTAATCCTTTATGACTGGTTTCCTGATAAATAGGGGAGATCAGGTCACAGACAGACACAGAGGGAAGACCAAGTGAAGACACAGGGAAGATGGCGGCCATCTGCATCAAAGAGAGAAGCTTCCGAGGAAACCAACCTGCCAGCGCCTTGATCTTGGACTTCTGGCCTCCGGAACTGAGAGAGATTAAATTCCTGTTGTTTAAGCTTCCTGGCCTGTGGCACTTTGTTGTGGCCCCAGCAAACTAACACAGTGTACAAAATCCAAAAGGGACACATGTTTTTGTTAAGAACGACCCAATTAAACACAGGCCCGTACACTGCTCAGGAAACGAAATGGTGGGGACCTAAAGTAAAAAGTGGGACAAAAAAGAAACAAAAGGCACCGTGTGTTGACACTTTTTATATTTGGTATTTGTGAGTCTTTTAAAAAAATTTTTTTTCAGGCCATTTTTTCCTTAAAAAAAAAAAAGCAACCAACAGCAATACTCTGTACAAGTATAACAAACATTAGAAATATGCATCATTCCAAAATAGTTACAAGAAAATTACAGTTTTAGAGTCCATATCAACACATCCTGTTCATACGTGCCCCCGAGGGAAAAATGCTACAGTATGTCGAACACTTGGCTGCTATACAGTCTGAAAACGCAGAACTTGGACTTTTGAGGCAAACCAACATAGTCACCAAGCCTTGTTTAGCACAGTAAGTGCAACCCAGCACTGCAAAAGAAAACCAGCCTTTTTCATCTGATGAAAAGCAAACATGAATCAGATGCAAAGGTGGCCCCCACCCCCAACGAGCCTCAGCTCGACGAAGCCCAACTCCAGTGCAGTCAAATCTGCCAAAGTCCACCGGAGGTCACTAGGTGCCCACAGGGAACAGACTCCCAAATGTCATTTCCCACCGGTGCCAAACGTCACTAGGTTTACCTTTGGAGGCAAACGTCCTCACTCTTGGGAGAAGGTACCGATGCCCCAAATCCCCCAGACCAACTGACCACCAACCTTCAGGCCTTTCACTGATAACTAATCCCACCCTGGCCATTTTTCTGTGTGCAACCGGCAAATAGGAAAGCAGGGGTGATCACACCATCTCCGCGATTCCACTGGACTCCTCAGATTTTAGTTCATCGTTCCTGGGAGGCTTTGGGGCAGGAGCTTGAAAGCACCTTCTCTTTTCTATGGCCAATCCCCAGCCCGTGTGTCCTTTATATTTACACAATTATCTTCCCTTTTCAATCACTGTGCTATAAATACCCTCACCACCCCCACCGGTCCCCAAACCCAGCCCTCTTCAGGATGCAGAGAAGCATCGTGACCTTCACATGACCTGCCATGTGGAATCCAGACCTCTCTACCACGAGCCTTCCGCCCAGGACTGGGAATGACATCTGAGAGTGGCTTAGCTGGGGCTCCTGCCCATTTCCCAAACCCATACCAGGCGGAAGGAAAGAGAGTTTCTGGGGTTTTGGGTGATTTTACACAGTATGTTTATAATTATTGTTGCTTTAGCCTTCTAAAGGAATTTTTGGAGCCAAGTCCTTCCCTCCGATTTCTCTGTGGCAGGGAATGTAGGCAGGGCCGGGCAGAGCATCTTTGTCAGAAGTGACTTCTACACCCCCATTCCAGTGGCTTCCTGACAAGTAAAGTGGAGAGGGGCATGACCCACAGAACTGCGGCCCCGGGCAGGGACCTCCGAATGCCATCATGGAACTCTGAGAGCTGCACGCATGGAGGGGCAGACCAGTGTGAAGGTTTGGAAGCAATCTGCCCAAAGCCAGCTTCACTCAACAGCCCGGGACGGCGTGGCTTCCCTGATGCAGGCCTAAAGAGCCGAAGGCCCCTCTGAAGGGGAGTCAAGATGGCCCAACCAGGCCCATTCCTCGCAGGGCCTGATGCTGAATGAACTGCTTGCCACAAGAGAGAGCAAAGGATTCGGCGAAAAGTGCAATTTCTGTGTGGGAAGTAAGTCCTCCCCAGACACTGACACGACCACCTCCTCTCCTTTTAATCCTTTTAGTACCTCAAAGGGAAAAGGGGGACAAAAGACGTACAAGCGCTAAGCCTCTGAACCAAATCAAGGGCTTTCAGTACGTTGTGGTTCACCCTCCATAACCCACTAGCACGTCCAGTCAGTTCTCAAGGTGCTAGCAAGTTGAGGAACACGGCAGCGTCGGGAGACGGGCTCCCCCAGGTCAAGAGTGACCGGGGCACCCGGAGAAGACCCCACTCCCATTTTCACTAGGACACAGTTGTCCTGAATTTACAGCAGGATTTATTACTGTGGAAAACAGCCACAGGAATCCAGGGACTTGGTAATTCCTTCATAAGACCTTCTCTACTTCATTGCCTATAGGAGGATAAATTCAAAACCTCTTCAAAATATAACCTGAGCCACAATATAAAATAAAAAGAAACAAACCCTTTCATGTTAATGCCTTGAGAAGTTTACAGATTATGTACCAATAAAATAAATCCTCATAAATTCTGAAATTCTTGGATACACACCTGAAGCAAAAAAAAAAAAAAAAATAATCTACATTAAAAAAATCAAAAGTAATTACAGCAGCAGTATAGTGAAAAGAGGTTTTAAAAATAATTACATCTTTGATACAAATTCAAACTCTGTACACCTCAATTCAAAGGAATGACTGTTTTAAGAGTTTAGTATATATATATACAGTAGATACCGATATGTGTCACTGCAGATAGACTAAAGCCAGTGGACTTTGAGGGAGGAGGGATTAATCAGACACTGTTTTCACACTGAAGTGTTCACAGATTGCCACGCTTTTAAACACACACACACATACACACAGACACGGACACACAGACGCACATAAAATGCCAACCTGAGTAAAACGTTACTAAAAACCTAGAGCATCATGAATCACTAAGTCACATATTGCACCTTTAAATAATCCTTCTTACCAAATACAGAAATGAGAAAAAAGGATGAAACAGGGACAAAAGAAGGAGATTATATCACTGTAGGGTTCCTCTGCTTTCCCCCACCCCCAGAAATTCTCAAGGTGATACTTGGTTTCCACTCTCACTCAACCAATGGGCTGAAAATGTGGCCAACAGAAATGTCTTTGGGGAAAACCGGGAGAGAAAGGGGAAAAAAAGAATAGAGCACGAAACATGGGGGACGGGGAGGCCTCCTCTAGTCAAATGAGAACAGGAATGTTACCGAGAAGGCTGAACCTCAGTTACTAAACTACTGTTTAAATATTCCTTATATTCCAATTATGAGATTCGATACAAAAATAGAGATATCTACTGAGTTTTGCCTGTGGAAGCATAATTCAGAAAAGGCACATGTTCAAATAGAAAACCCAGGCAGAAGAGGTACCACGTACCCCTCCCGACATGATAATCATCCACAATCACGTATTTTCCATCAGCTAGATTCCAAGATACAGTAGGTAAAAATAGATCTCTGATACTTAAAATATATTCAACCCAACACAATCCTGGCTTTAGCATGTGAATCATATAAAATAGTCTTTTTTAAAAAGAATCTGTTTTGAAAAAGAAAAAAAAAGTCATAGCTCACTTTTCCTGGTGTTCCATAATTCTCAAGGAAAAAAAAAAAAAAGTGAACTCATCCCATTGGTATTCAGGAATGTAGTTGATTAACTCAACACCCATCCACAGCCCCTGACAGCCCCAACTTCTCATTTGTCATGTTCTACATGTGCAGCTTCACACCCTCAAATTAGTTCTAACAAAACAGAACAAAGAATAAGATATTAGACATATAAAAACATGTCGACATCGGGGCATTTTCCTTCGCTGTGGGTGTGACGGTCCGGTTCACTCCAGAAAGGTTTTACTTTGGAACTAGGCGATGTAACCATTTGTCTTTCCAAACGCAGTCACTGGTGCAAGGTTTTCATAGATTGTCATTGCAGTTGTGTTCTGGTAGATGAGATCTACTTTTGAGTCCTTCTGGGATCTGATGATATCCAAAACACACTGGTTGAGGAAAACATACTGGTCCTGTTAGAAAAGTGAAAAGAGAAAGCAAATGAGCAGAGGTCCCAGAGATTAGCACCCAAGGTTACTTTCAGATTACCACCACCCCCCCAAACCCATCGGCCCCACAATGAACATAGCCAACAAGATTTTCTTGGTTAGTGAGCATGGGCGGTGTAAGGAGTCAATTGTGATTCTCAACAGAGGGGACAGGTTAAGGGGGATAATCTGGGTAGAGTTGGGTGGAGACCACCCTCAGGCAAGCTCGTCAGAATATGCAGGTAGCCATTAAAAAAAGGAAGAGGAGGGGCGCCTGGGTGGCGCAGTCAGTTAAGCGTCAGACTTCAGCCAGGTCGCGATCTCGCGGTCCTGGAGTTCGAGCCCCGCGTCAGGCCCTGGGCTGATGGCTCAGAGCCTGGAGCCTGTTTCTGATTCTGTGTCTCCCTCTCTCTCTGCCCCTCCCCCGTTCATGCTCTGTCTCTCTCTGTCCTAAAAATAAATAAACGTTGGAAAAAAAAAAAAAATTTAAAAAAAAAAAAAAGGAAGAGGAAAAAGGTATATGCTGAAAGATATCCAGGGTGCTATAAGAGAAAAAAAAAAAATCACAGGGCAGAATTAGATATAACATAAAATCCAATGAAAAAAAATATTCCATGTGTCAATATCCAAGATATATAAAAAAAACCTACACAACTCGACAGCCAAAAAACAATCTGATTAGAAAACGGGCAGAGGAACTTAATAGACACTTCTCCAAAGAAGACATATAGATGGTCCACAGACACACGAAAAGATGCTCAACATCACTCATCATCAGGGAAATGCAAGTCAAAACCACCGTGAGATATTACCTCACACCTGTCAGAAGGGCTAGTATCAAAAAGACAAAAAACAACAAGGACTGGAGAGGATGTGGAGAAAAGGGGACCCTTGTGCACTATTGGTGAGAATGTAAATTGGTACAGCCACTAAGGAAAACAATATGAAAGTTCCTCAAAAAATTAAAAACAGAAATACAATTGTGATCCAGTAAGTCCACTACTGGGTATTTACCCAAAGAAAACAAAACACTAATTGAAAAAGATACGTGAACCCCTATGTTTGTTGCAGTATTTTTTACAGTAGCCAAGATAGGAAAGCAACCCAAGCAGCCATCAATAGATGATAAATAAAGACGTGGTATAAATATGCAATGGAATATTACTCAGCCATAATAAAGAATGAGATCTTGCCATTTGTGACAACATGGATGGACCTAAAGGGTATTATGCTAAGTGAAATAAGTCAGACAGAGAAAGACAAATACCATACGCTTTCACTTATGCATAGACTCTAAAACTCAAAACAAACACACAAAAAAGCAGAAACAGACCCATAAATACAGAGAATTGGTGGTTACCAGAGGGGAGGGGAGGGGGGAGATGGGCAAAATGGGAAAAGGGGAGTAGGAGGAACCGGCTTCCGGTTATGGAATGAATTAAGTCACGGGGATGAAAGGCACAGCGTATGGAATACGGTCAATGGTACTGTAATAACCTTGTGTGGTGACAGATGGTAGTTACACTTATGATGAGCAGAACATAACATATAGACTTGTTGAATCACTCTGTTGTACACCTGAAATGAATGTAACATTGTGTGTGTGTCATCTGTACTCAGTTTTTTTTAAAGAGCACCAGCCATAACAACAAAAAAAAAGTACTGTGTGTGTGCGTGTGTACATGTGTTTTTCTACAGATGTACATAAAGAAACCTATAGTGATATACACAAACTGTAAGCACTGGCTACCTCTAGGGAAGAAAAAGTAAAAGAGAAAAATACATTCTATATAATCCTGTTTTGTTAGATGTCTTAATATGAACAAGTTTACATTATCTTCAAACTACAAAAAAAAAGGACCAAGAAAAGAATTTGTGGGCAGGTATAAGATTTCTGTGTTTCTTCAAAGGAGATAAAAGACTGAGTTCTACTCTACATAATTATAGCAGGAAAAAAAAAAATTCTCTTCTGACCAACACAGGAGGTGAATTCTACACTTTCTTCCACAACCATGCTGGTCGCCCAAAAGCACACGATGTACCCAGGCCTCCAGAACATTCCCTGCTAGACTCAAAAACATAGCACATATTCATGGAGTTCTAAATTGGTACAGGGCGACAGCCTGATACAAAATTAATATTCTGCTCTCATCCCAGTCAAGACACATTCCTTCCTACAGCATTGAAGAAGGCGATTTCCCAATATATTTGCTGAGAACATGACTTGAAAACAATGTTTGTCAGGAACATTTCAGGGAAAGCCGAATCCAATGGGTCTTACCCAACTGACATTGTAGATACTAAGCATGAAGTTTCTCAGCTGGCCAGCCGTCCCCCGGGGACTATGATAATTGATGTTCTTTTACATTCACAGGGCTAGGTGAGGATACACTGCTATATGAACATTACGCCTATTTCATTCACATTGCTAACATTTGAGAAGTCCGTTTCATCAGCTTGTTTTAAGGATGGTCAGACCTTCTCAGAAACAAAGCATGAAGATACCAGTTTTAAGAGTTTACAACCCGGAAGCCAAAGTTCAGAGAACTGCTAAGATTATTTGATGAGTTAGTGGCCGCAAGGAAAGGAATCCAGGTATGATCTTGGTGTGTACTGTTCCATTGCTGGTATCACTACCACCGTATCACCATATCGGATAATTCAATCGCAGTTAAGGATCTAAAAGAAATCCAGTGTTACCTCACAGCCCAGAACCAGAAAGACCTAGAAGGGTGAAGTGTTTCAACACAAGTATGTGACATGATGCAACCTTTTGAAAACAGGATTGAAAAAGCGGACTGCCAGACACAGAGCTCGGCCTCACCTCTGTTTGCACCATTAAAGGCCTGTGCATTCTAAGGTCATACACAATCCCATACACATCCACAGTGTTCTCGTTCTCTATCTGGTAGATAAGACGATCGATGGCAATGAACGTGCCTGTCCTTCCAACCCCAGCACTGAAGAAAAAAAGACATGAACACATCACCATAGGTTACCTCTAACCTAAAATGCTCAAATGTGCATTTGTGCGTGTATCTTGCTCCCCTCCACTATCAATGCCCAGGATCATGAAACATTTGCTCAGCTAAAACCTCAGCAAATTGGATTACACTAGTTTGGGACTGGGACCCAAACCCTAAAGTTCATTTTGCGTCAAATATCACAAATAAAACCTCTTGCTAGAGCGGCTTGAATCTCAGTCCCATTCAAGTTATTAACCGTAACCCAGGATGGCAAGTTTCATCAATTTGTTCCCCATAGGGCAACAAAGCCCCTCTTCATCTTTCCTAAATTAATTGCTTTAGCCTAAAAGCTAGCTAGTTGTCTTATTGGGCTAGAGCAGGAAGTGGGGACAAACTTTTTCTGTAAAGGACCAGATAGTAAATATCTTTGGCTTTGCACACTAAATGATCTCTTTCTGCCATTTTAGCATGAAAGTAACTAGAGGCAATATGTGAACAAACAGGCATGGCTCTGTTCCAATACAACTTTATTCATAAAGGGATTGTGGTAATAGTTTCACAGGTGTATACTTGCCTCCAAACTCATGCAGTTGTATACATTAATTTATGTACAGTTTTGTATGCCAAAAAAAAATGTTTTAAATAAATCAATAAAATGAACTAAAACTATGCATTTCAACTTCACTAAATAACAAACTAAAATGCTGAATGAAGAAAGCAGGTTGCAGAATGATGTCTACATCATAAAATCTGGCAAAAGTTAAAGCTATATAAAACCACAGATATACATACATATGTAATAAAATATAAAAGCATACAAGGGAATGATTCAGATCAACTGTAGAACCACGTTTAACTGTGTAAGGACACTGATAAGTAGCAACTTTATATCTGGAACATATTATTAACAAAAAGAAACATGGCCTCATGCCATAGTTTATTAGATTATTACTCTATATTTTTGTAAGGTTGAAATATCTTTTTTTTAATTTTTTTTAATGTTTATTTATTTTTGAGACAGAGGGAGACAGAGCGCAAGAGGGGGAGGGGCAGAGAGAGAGGGAGACACAGAATCTGAAACAGGCTCCAGGCTCTGAGCTGTCAGCACAGAGCCCGATGAGGGGCTTGAACCCACGAACCGTGAGATCATGATCTGAGCTGAAGTCAGATGCTCAACCGACTGAGCCACCCAGACCCCCCTAGGTTGAAATATTTTATAAGAAAATGTCATAGGGGCACTTGGGTGGCTCTGTTGGTTCAGCATCTGACTCTTGATCTCGGCTCAGGTCATGATCTCACGGTATGTGAGTTCGAGCCCCGTGTCAGGCTCTAGGCTGACAGTGCAGAACCTGCTTGGAATTCTGTCTCTCCCTCTCTCTGCCCCTCCCCAACTTGTTCTCTCTCTCTCTCTCTCTCTCTCTCTCTCTCTCTCTCTCTCTCAAAATAAATAAATAAACTTAATAAAATGTTGTAAGTAAGATATAAATTAGAATATATTATAGTCTTAAAAAAAACACGGGTAATCTACCAGGTCTGGCCCATGGTTATAGTTTGCCAACCCCTGTTCTAAAAGCCTCAGGGCTTAGGGAATAAGTCCATGGTCCCTTATCCAAACCTTTCTTAAATTTCCAAATGCCTGTTGCATTCCCTCTCATGCCTTGCTTTTCTAAAGTGTCCTCATTTATAATGGCGTTTGAAATCGGTCCTACATGGAGCGCCATCTGCATACCTGCAATGCACCAGAATGGGAGACTCAGGAGGACTCTGCTTCATGTAGTCACGGACAAGGTACCGAAAATTGATGAGCAGGTCGGTGGTGTCGGGAACGCCGTGGTCCGGCCAGGAGGTGAAATGAAACTGTCGCAGAGGGTGACTCTCACTTGTCTGGAGCTAAGAACCCAGGAAAGAGAAAAGGGCACGTGAAATGGAGCAGCACCCGAAGGCTGAGCCGCATGGGATAGCTGACGGGTAGCTACAGAGGAGTGGTTACAACTAACAACTGCAACGTTACATTGGTACAGCAACTGAGAAAGTGCTTGCTCACCAAATCCCCACAATGTGCCCAAGAGGGAGGGTTTATCATCCCCTTTAACGATTCTGAAAAGTGAATCAACTCCCCCCACTCAGCCTAGATGCGGTACAAGTGCATCATCCTCTGATCCTGAGTTCAGATCTTCCTTTCCCACTACAGGTGCCTGCCAGTAATGCACTCACAGTCTCACAGTCCTATAACTACACCTTCTTAGAGCTTCATGAAGCTCGTCCCTGAGCCCACATGGGAAGGTCATCAACCAAAACACCAAAAATGAACTATACTGATGCAACTCTGATAATCAGAACCTTTGGGGCGAGAGCTGCCTCACAATCCGTGAGCCTTCCGGAGAGTCTCACGAAGCGACAGGCAACTGGCGAGCACCAAGGAAGTATTTAGAATTGCAAGAGTTTGAGAAAAGACCATCCCCCCTCAAAGAAAAAAAAAAAGAAAGAAAGAAAAAGAAAAAGAAAAAAGCATCTATTTCAACATCAGACAACAGGAAGTGGATCTCGTTAGAACAGTTAGTTACGACACAGACTAGTTTCCTACCGCAGATTGAAGCATGTACCTTTTGTCATCAGAACTCCACCCAGGCTGGGCCATTCCTGCCCTGGATTCAAGTGTTCTCACTACGTCCACCCCCGGCACTGACCTCACCCACATACCTACATCTGGACTGCAGGCATTTCCATGTCCTTTATGACAGCTACCTTTTGAAGCTTTTTTTTTTTTTG